TTCACTGTTATTACACTGTAACAGGATATTTTTCACTATAATTACTAAAAAATATAAACGCAAGACCAGTATAAAATCACAAAAGGAAAGTTGTGGTTAATAAGGAAACAAAATGGTGAAACAATTAATGAAAGTTAAATTAATAACAACTAAGTGAATTGAATATTAGGGATATCGATCTGAGATCGATTACATGAATTGTTGCTGTTAGTGTTACATGTTGGAATGTTGATATTTTGTTTTTTTTTTAATTATTATTTTGTAGATATGTTCGCAATTTTTATCTTCTAAACACAGAAAAATAATCGAAAATAGATATTAATACGCTCAATTTAATCAAGAATCGATTATATTGCGTTCATTTCAAATCGAATCGAAACTCTATCTTTTTCTTTTAAATTAATAGTTTGAAGTTTGAACTGTCTAGCCAAGTTTCAAAATTCAAAATGAGAAGTCTGTATTGAAAGATAACGTTTAGGAACGAGAATTTCATAAGTGTATTCTTTATGGTAATCGATTTATATTGCCATAAAATGTTTATTTTTCTTTTTTCTATAAGCGAATAATATATTTTATTTCCAAATGAATGTATCAATCAAAGTAAATAATATAATTTTAAAAAACCTCTCAGTAGAGAGCATTGTGTTCTGTGATGGTAACAGTATGGTCGCAAACACTTCATCCTTAGCGGTTATAATTAATCATTTATTCTCTAATATTACTTATAATCTTTTATACAGATCTTAAATACTTTTTAAAGTTATTGCTAGTTAGACCCCATGAAGGAATTATTGACCTTTTGCAGTCGCGAAACTGGATTGACCGGTGGTGAAAACTGTTAACACAGTGGTTGAAATAGTAATAGATTTAAAATTCAATCTAGATTTCAGATTATAATTATTACTTATTGAAAGTTATACTTATTTAAATTTACTGCTGGCTTAGAAAATACTTCTGTTCTGGAAAGAAAAATCACTTATCTCACTTATATCTGTATAAAGGCGAGATACGAGATTTTTCTTTGTTGGCAAGAAATCCATATACTAATCTATGTGTTTCACAATGTGTTATACAAATCACATTAGAAATAGCTTGTTACAATCACCTCATTCCCAGGGTTCATTATCATCCATAAAATTATTAATATTAGTATAACCATTTTTATACATTTTTTTTGTAATATTTTTTGTACTTAATGGTAGACAAAATTTGTATATATTTTGGGCTTTTTTTGTAAAGACATTGCCCAACTTGATTGCCTCGTTTGTTTAATGGTAGTAAACGCGGCTGCTGATTGTGACGTCCCGGGTCGGCTTATAAAAAAATAGTTATACGAGTTTTTCTGCCAAGAAATTCTCATTAGCAGCCCGGTTTCAAGAAATTCGTGGTGTTTCAACTGCCTCGAAGAGCACGTAAAGCCGTTGGGCCTGCGCCTGTGTGTTTTTGCATACACTCGGGCACTATAATCTTGTTTAGATCTTGTGACAGATGACTAGTCTCAGTTGAAACTGCCGCCATGACCGAAGTTTGCCCCAAGAATTGAATTACTGACTCTGTGGAGTCGAGTGACATGTACTGCTAGCTTGTGCCTGTTCCTAGTATTTCCAGAGTGAATAACACATATTTTAAAAAACTACCCATTCATATCATTATGTACATACATTACATTTATACTTACATTAAATGGAGGATACCGATACTGGCTGAGGCAAGAAGAGGAGTGCCTTGAAACTGAGGAGATACGACAAAGGGGTTATTTTTAGCGGTTAACACGCAAACTTGTGTCTTCTGAGGATTAAACTGGACTAGATTTAGTTACCAGTTAGCAACATATCATTGATATGCAGAAGAAACAGCGTTGGTGATAGCACACAGCCTTGTGGAACACCAGCGTTAATAGGCTTGTAGTCAGAACATGCACCGTCTACAACGACCTTGATGCTCCGATCTGCAAGGAAGCTGGTGATCCAATTGCACAATTTCTCGGGAAGCCCATAGGAAGGGAGCTTCGATAGAAGCGCTTTGTGCCAAACCCGATCGAAGGCCTTCGCAATGTCCAGACTAACGGCCAACGCCTCCCCCTTGGACTCTACTGCCTCCGCCCATCTATGGGTCAGGTAGACTAGAAGATCACCAGCTGATCGACCCCGACGAAAACTACGAAAAAACTGGCGGTCACTAATCAACTGGTGATCCTCAAGGTACCGGATGAGCTGGCAGTTAATAATGGATTCCATTATTTTGGAGAACAAGGAGGTGATCGCGATAGGCCTATAGTTGGACGGGTCTGAGCGGTCGCCTTTTTTAGGGATCGGGTGAACAAAAGCTGTCTTCCATGAGTTCGGGACTACGCCTTGGGAGTAGGAGTACCGGAAAAGACGCGTTCGTACCGGTGCCAAATCTGGAGCATACGTCCTCAGCACAATTTGGGGGATTCCGTCAGGCCCACTCGACTTCTGGATGTCCAGGGAGAGAAGTGCTTTGTGAACCGAGCGCTGTGAGAACAGCACATCCGGCATGGAGCACTCACACCGCGGGATGGTCGGCGGTGTTTTCCCCCCGTCATCAAGAGTCGAGTTGGATGCAAAGAGGGAGCCTAAAAGGTCGGCTTTGTCTTTTGCGTCTTGGTCCAGTGAGTCGTCCTCCCTGTGCAGAGATGGTAGTGATGGCTTACAGAAATTCCCTTGGACAGCCTTGGCGAACTCAGTGTTGACGTATATTTATATGTATATATGTATATAAAATATTTTTGTAGCCCTTTCTATTTTGATTACTGCTGCACCGCCTCTTGTTTGTCTATCTCTGTTTAGCGTAATGGTTGACTATGAGAGAATGCCCTATGGCATTAAATTACATAAGGCTGGCGAATCAATTACTAAATGAATTACGAATTCACTCTGCTTTTTTATAATGATACATAAATAGCTGGTATGAAATAAATATATCCTACTTAACAAATAGCAGTGAAAAAAATAAAACACAAATTCAAAGATAAAGAAGTTATTATTTACACATACATATTTACAGTTACAATGAACATATCGTTGATGAATTAAAACACACATTATTAATTGCAAATATCTATCAATAGACATATTAAGTATTTAGGATTCTCGTCAATAAACTAAAAGTTAAAATGACATCTTAGATTATTGATAAAGCTGAACGCACATTTGTCAGCACCGTATGCATCGTACGCGCCGTACGCGCCGAGTTTTACTGATGGCCTCGCACATTTACCCGTACGCCTCGTCCGCGCAGTACGCAAATTTTATGTATTACCAACAACTTTTGTAGTTTTTTCCAACCACTGGTGTGAAACGGTACAGTGAAATTAATCGCTCAAAATCACTATGGAAAGAAATATAGTAATAGCCTGTTTATTGGCAGAGGAAGAAGAAAATAAAATGCGGAGAAAAAGAAAATTCTGGATTCATATTATTAATTTTAAAAGGCAATTGTATGGAGATTATGAAGAGGATATACTTTATTTAAAGACTTATTAGATGATGATGAACGATTTTTTTAGATATTTGCATTTAATATACAAGAAATTTCAAGAATTGCTACATATACTAAAACCATATCTTTCTGTGGAAAACTCAAGATTTAGAAGGCCAATTGAACCAGAGAAAAGACTTGTTGTATGTTTGAGATAAGTAATTTTATTGATAATTAAGTAATCAGGTATAATTGGGTTTTTAAATTAAATTCAACTATTTTTTTGTAGTTCAGTATGTAAATAATTTATCGCTAAGTATACATATTGATAATCGATGAAAAAAATTCAAATTATTTACAATTAATCACGAATGAATTAAAAGTTATAAAAATACAAACATTATCATGTAAGTCGAAACCACTGGTTATAGTGGAAAATCCACTATGTTGGCAACATTAGAGAACACTGAGTATCAGCACGCGCTGCGTTATATGACGTCATCAGCATTCGTCCTTCGTATCGTATACCTACCGCATTTTATAAAATTCGGCGCGTACGGTGCGGGTGTAATGTGCGAGGTTTCATATGATTTCATACAACGAATTCTAAAATTCGGCGCGTACGGCGCGGACAAATGTGCGTTCAGCTTTAGTCATCGCGGTCAGAGCGCGCGATGACTTATCAATAATCTAAGAATGACATATTATTATGTACGAGTAACAAAATTGGACAACAATAGCACCCAAATTACATTTTGTTCTTTTGCTTGTATATTAGCACGTTTTAATCTAAGTCTCGTTTCTTCTACCTTCGATGAGTTGGTTAACAATAAAATACGGAAGAGCAAGCGGGGATCCATCTTATACTGTTAGAAAGTCCGTCTAACACTGGACAGCTTACGAACTGCGGAAAATGAGCAAGAAGCCGAGATCTAGGAGGACTTTAGATCTGTATGATAGTTTTTTATTAAATTGTTGATGTTAAACGTGAAAACATTATTAAACAATTTTGTTTTGGCA